AAAGCCGATCTAGATAAAATGAAAATGTTTGTACAGCTTAGACAAGATTTGGAAAGAGTACGTAATCTATGTTATATGGTGAGCAGGAGAGAAAAACTATCAAGATCGTTCTTTCGAATGCGGGAGCAAACATTTCATAAACAAGTAGCTGTTTTATCATCAGAGCCAGGATTATCAGGAGTTGAATTAGCAGCTATACTGGAAGCTAACCATGGACCATCTATATACGATAGATTATATTCTCATCCAAATGCACTAGATCACAAAAATGATTTTGACGAACTTTTGGCGCGGATTGCGCCACAAGACTCAAGTGATGATAAAAAGAAGGATAGAAATGGTCTCGTTAAGGGTCAAAAGGCAGCAAACCCATATAAGAAACATTATGTCAATGGATCACGGCGGAGTGAAAGTATGTATAGTGGTTTATCCAGTGAAGAGAGTGCACCTGAAAACAACCGAGCCACAAAATACCGCGGACGAACTATTGCCTCCAGTACCGATGAAGATGTTAAAAAACCTAGTAGCTCCCCCAAGAAAAAGATTTCACCTAAGGGGAAAGGTAAAAGATCACCGAAAAAACCGGAAAGAAAGAAGAAGAAAATACCACAATCTAAAGCAGTAGTGGAGAGTAGTAGTGACGATGAATCTTATAAAATGAGTGTTAAAAAAGACAAATCGCGGAGTAAAACTTTACAGCAAATGGAAAAAGAGATGGATGCTGGTAAAAGTGGTCTGTCGGGTACAGACAGTGGTGACTTGATGCCTATGAGATCTACACGAAACAGTAAATTTCCAATTGATATATACTCCGATACCAGTGATGATACAGATTCTGCAAAAACTGATCATAAATCACAAAAAGTTAAACAAGACAAAGGGAAGACTATTAGAAGTCGATCTGAAGGGTCACCCAGCGGTATTGACTCGCAGCAAGGTTTACCTAGGACAAAAGCAGCTATGAAAGAGTTTGTGTCCAGTCACTCTGAAAAGAAGTCATCTTCAGAAGAGAAACCAGCTCCAAAGAAACGAGGTCGCAAACCATCTAATAAAGAAAAGAAGTCGTCTACGCCTGTCAAAACTCATGAATCAGATGATGAAGCTAGAAATAAAGAAAACATCAAGCTATCTAAGCAGAAGGATAATCCATCTGATTTAATAGTACCACAAAGGCAGGCTGCAAAAAAAGCTTCAGAAAATATGCGATCTACCACTGTTGCAAAAAGAGAAGAGTCGAGTACCGATAAACAAGCTAGTGGCGACGAATCAAGATCTAAATCAAAATCTAAGACAAAAGGCAAAGATAATGCAGCTAAAAGTAGCACTAAGAAATCATCTAAAGATGTCGAAAAGGAGCCCATTGCATATGTACCGCAAAGGCAAGCAGCTAAAAAAGCTGCTGCCCATATTAAGAGTGGCCTTGGCAGTAAGCTGCCTGTTATAGATCCGTCTGATTCTGACAAAAGGAAGGATATCGATAAATCTGATACAACAAAATCTCCACCTAAGAAAAATGAAGCAAAATGTTCGAAGGCATCTGCAAATGATACTTCAAGTTCTACTTCAAATACTAGTAGCAGTAGTTATTCTTCATCTTCAAGCTCAGAAGAAGAACAGGAAAAGCCAACTATGAAACCTTCTGCAAAGGCCCGGGAAATAAAACCGATTTCGAGGCAACCATCAATGTTTTCTCCCCCTGGCTCTAGACCAACAGTGGACTTGCCCTTTCTCGACAAGGTGTCAAGACCATTGTCTTCTACTAGCGCCTCGAGTGACTCTGACACCACTAAAGGATCCAGATTTTCTGGCTCTGAAAGTCCATCTCCAAAAAGACCGCGGCGTCCTAGAAGGGGGAAAAGTTTCTCAAGCGATGCACAACCACGCAAGGCCCCCAATAAGAAGCTTAAAACTTCAGAACGGGGGTCCGAGTGTAGGCTATCATCGCCGTCTATTGAAAGAGAGAAATCGGTTAGACTCGATGATGCGCATGCCCCCACACGTTCTCGGACCAGAAGCGTTACTACAAGCGGAAATATGTCTAATAAGTGTGACGCCAGACAGAGAAAACCATCTAAAGACGACATCTTCGTTGCCTCTGGATCAAATCAAAATCCCGAAGAGACCTGTAAGTCCCGTAAACTTTCAGTTGCGGAGCGGGAAGAGGACGAGAAGATAAAAGACGAAATGAAAGAAGAAACATATGTAGCCACTGAGATGGTTAAAAATGATGTTAAAGTTTCCAGCAGGGACATCACTCGGCGTAGTGTTTCGGTAGAAGAAAAACAAAAACCGATTCCAATTGATACTGAAAGCTGCACTATCATCAAAAGCAGTCCAAGAAAAAGCATGGATGTTAAGCAAAAGAACATAATCAGCAGACGAATGAGTGTTAAATCTTATCCATTTAAAGATACTTCCATCAAACTTGATGGTCCCTGTGAAACCATTACCAAGCCGACTAGACGTGCATCTCAAAGTTTTGTTCACACTGATCACTCCTCATTCTCGCTAAATACAAAAGTTGAGGTTGAAATACCGCCATTCATAGAAAATGTTGAAAAGAAAGTACCATCCACATTATCTGATGACTTTGCTACAACTGATAAACATTGGTTACCAAAAGCTACAAGTCCTCACATTCATCCACCGCCTGTAGAAAAACCTGGCGGCCATGAAAAATATATGACCGAAGATAAATCATTCGACTCTGATTGTACTGATAAGAGTAGTATCAAAATGATTGCTAAGATTCAAGCCAATCTCAATGAAAACACTATGATTAAATCTCCAAAAACACCCATGGATGCGAGAACCATAAATTTAGACCCCCTGGAAGAAAATTCCTTACCGAGGAATCTGCGTAAACGTTCAACTACTGAACCAGAAAAGAAATTCATTGTTCAAGATGTTAGCCATGTCCAAGGAGTGGAAATTTCCAAAAGTGCTAAAATACCCTCGGCTGCAAATCCGTTTCCAAATAGATCAATGTTTTCGCCGCAGTCTAAAGATACTGAGCTTTTTGAATTTGACATATTGGACAATGAAGGATTTAACCATGAAGATATTATGAAGCCTTTTACTACCTACCCAGAGTTTCTTTTTAAGGAGGATTCCAAGGAACAAGGTGTTCAAGAAACTCTTAACCTTGTTGACCGACTTCGAATGCAGCTTAGTACCAAAAAAGCTGCCCCAGAAAATGTACCACGGGAAGAGGAAATTAATGTTAGTGATGATAAAGAACATACAGATGAAGGAGAAAACAGAACTGCAGTGGATACAGATAAAGAACAAGAACATATGATTTTAGAACAAACTATGCCTACAGAACATCATGATGTAAGATCTCCTATGAATGAAATCCACCATACAAATAATAAACAGTGTTCAACAGATAACGTGGGTCACCAAGATGATGTAGTTGAAATAGTTGATGACAAGGAAGAAGAGTCGGAGCATTTGGCCAAAGAAAATTGGTCTGATATGTCTGTACCAGCAGCTCAAAATGATCCGCAAGTAGAACCAGTAGAAAGAACTTATGGACATACTATGTCTTACACAGAAAATGTTAAAGAACGAAGTCTCATTCATTCTGATGTTCAATCAATTTCTGAAGTTGCTGATTCAATCTCACTCTCAAAACAAAGTGACGATTCACAATCCCTATCTGTTGTTGATCAATCATTACATAGTAACGATCAGGAATTATCACAAGACAATCAAGTATATGATAACAACAATTCGTTGATGCATTCGGATTGCGCTACAATATCTCCGCCTTATGTAAATCAAAATTCAAAATGGAGGGAAAGCAAAATAACAACTAGACGATCATCAGATTCAAGCACAAACTCTGAAGGGTCCGTATGTTCTCGGAAGGCTGATTTAAAATCTCATTTAAATAGCTGTGATTCACACTCCGGAGCCATGATGGCAGACATAGATCAGTACACATCTGTCCCAGCATATTCTTGTTCAGTTGAACCACCGATGCCTCTGAACCAGTACACTAATTATGCTCCAGATGCTTCGCCATTTTTGAATTCAATGAGCACGTTACCGTTATTCGCGGCAGGCGCTTGCGCTTCGTCGCAATTACCTCTTCCATCACCAGGTCGAGGTTTATATCCACCTGGGTTATCTTTTACTGCTGCACCATTGATTCAGCCTTTGACTAAACCTCCATTTCCTTTATGCGCGGCGTTTACTACGTCATCACAAAATATTGCGTTGACCACGGCGATGATTGCACCTCCGACACCAAAGCCATTAGATTCACCACGCGATGACATTGATGTTACTGGAAGTGATAAGTTTTCGATTCATGTCTCTAGTCCTACAATAAGCGTTGATTCTTACAATGAAACGAGCAATACTAGACCACCTACCAAAATGTCGAATGATAGTAATGAGACAATGTCTAGTCTTCATCCTCAAGAATCGAAATCGCCGCCAAAGACTTCAAAACCTACACCTAAATTTTCATCTAAGTCACCTGGAAAGAGTCCAGGTATATCACCTAAACAAAGCGATTCTAAAGGATCAAAACGGACAAGCAATAGAAGCAATAGAAGTCAGAGAGGTCGAGGACGGTCAAAAAGTCGTGGCCAATCTGTGCATGCTTTTCCTTCTACAGAATTTACTGAAAATTCTATTCAAAGTAAATTGGTTGGAACGGTTTACGATTTTGATGAAGAGTTGGCCAATGATGGCGTTGATTTAAAAGCTCTTCGGGAGAGGCGAAAATCTGTTGACATTAGAGACAATAGAAAATCGGAACATTCATATAAAGATACATCACAGTCACCAAAAGTTTTAAGTCCAGCACAGAGTAAAAAACCTGCAACGGAGGTAAAAGAAATAGAACCTTCCATAGATGTCGAAAATTCACCTGGTTCACCTTCAAGTAAGAGCAATTCTGAGACAGGTCCTGGATTTTCCCAAGTTGCGCCAGTTTTACCTGGCCCTGTGGATATGCGTACCTATCAAAATGTGGATACACCCGCGCCCCCTGCTAACGATGGCATCCACAGTCACCTTCTGGCATTCGCTAGTGGCACAGCTGAGCAGCCTTTGGTAGAAATAGACGAAGAAGTTGAAAAACAACTGCATAGCGAACTAATGGCTAGCAAACCAAGACAAGCTGCATCAACCGAGGTTACCACTTCTGAAGTCATCCAAGAACCAATAAAAGAAACACCACAATTGCCGAAAGTTTCATTAAGCGACTCGAGAAATCAATTAAAGGTAAAAATAAAAGGTCCGTTCTTGGATGCCAATTACTCTACAAGTTCAACACAACCAGCGGCACCGCAGCCTCCTGCTCCTGTTCATGATTCCAATATCAATAGCAATACCACCAGTGGATCAGCTAATACTATGATGACGGGGTCTACAAATTTGCGACGAATGCGAAAGAAGGAATTGTTGCGGCAATATTGGACGCAAGATATGAACATGGATGATCCCGCCAATGCGTCCAATGCAGGAATTCCACCGCCTCCCGCTGTACCACAGCCTATACCTCGGACTGTGATTACTATACCGAAAGCAGTCGCATCGATGACTAGCATACCTACAAGAGAAGATTATAAAATTATTGACACTCCAGTGGAGAAAAAGAAAAGAAAAGTGTCAGGTGTTAATAGAGAGTTGCGGCACTTAGAAGTAACTATGAATGACGATGTAGACACATCAGACGATATGAAGTTGTCGAATTACACAACTAATACTACCCAGAACCATAAGAGACGTGGTCGTGTTGCCATAAAACAAAGTAAATCCAGAGCCACATCCCCGGTTGCACCTAAATTAAAGATAAAAATCGGCTCTAACACTGTGCAGCAAGTGAACGACGAACCTACTGGTTTCCAATTTCGTCCACCGAAAAAGCGACTAACTTGCAGTATACCTAAACCTAGTTTAGAAGATTTGCGTCGTGAAAGTATGAAATATCGACGCATGGTCATGGCAGATTTTGAAGAAAACGAAAAAGAGAAGAAACTGAAGCTGAATAAGAGTGAGAAACGTAAGAAGAAGAAAGGGAAAAAATTGGAGAAAGAAAAACTGCAAGTGATAAATAGTGACAATGATAGTGCTACCAAACTCATTATAAAAATAAAGCGCAAGAAGGAAGAGGACGAGAAATCGGGGTCTGATGAGGCCGGGCCAAGTGCAGCGTTAGTGGTGTCTGAGCCACCTGTGGACCCCTTTGAATACGACCCCACGGCGCCGGACCCCCTCGCCATCGACCCCCCTTGCAATTCTGCGAGCGGCGCCGGCGTGCGCAAGGTGCGAACGTCTAAAGTGACGCCGATCCGGTTAAAACTGGCGCGCAGCTCACAGGGATCGGGTTACGTGATGAAGGAGACCGTCGAAGAGGCTTCGAGCACAGCGCCCGCTTCTTCTGAGGTGTCGACGGCCAGCGCCGCTTCTGCCACCCTTTCAGTTTCCCACAATAAACACTGTGAAGTGAGATGATATAAAAAGAAAGGTACTCGTAAGTAAATCGCAAATTTAACGTGTGACCAAGCGTCAACCTCCTGTAAATAAAGGACTGAAATGTTCAGAAACATAAGTGTAATAGTTGTAAACATAGCATAACTTTCACTTCAATCATGTATCTACTTTAATATTTATTTATTTGTATAAATGGAAAGCTCAATAAATAGCTTAAAATGTGTTAATCTAAGTTAAATTATACTTCTAATGTGCATCACAAGTGTTGTCCATGCAAACTGTATAATATGCATTAAATATAAGTTTATGTTTATGTAAAGTATGTATAAAGTTTACTTTGTGCCTCATATTAAGGAATCTCATTATATTCGTCATAAAATTGATTTAAGTTCTACCTGTTCTAAAGTAAACACAAAAGACCACTCATTACTTTTTACATCTCTGTACAAATGCTACATGTTTACAAAGTATTATATTCGCTAGCTACAACGGATTATATTGTATTACTTGCTATTTTATATTATATTTGTCCAGTGTTCATATATTCCTACTCAAGTTATGAATAATTCTTCTAAATCCATCTTTAAAAACGACAGTAGTTCAAGTCGAGGTTCTCATGTTCTAATTTTGGCCCTTTTCAATAGACACTTTTAACTTCTATCTGTTGTAGTATTTGAGTGTTAAACTGCTATTGAAGCATAATTTTATCAGTGCCTAACTATAGATAATTCGCAATTAGTTATATTATTATTCGTTTACACAATAATTCTTAATTTTCACGAATCTTTGTTAATCGGCTAGCTATGCTTTTTCGCGGATGCATATTTTTGTTAAATGACACAAGACGACTTATTAAACAAATAAATGCTTGTCTAATGATTTCTCAGCACCATGATTCATGACCGTTAGCAACAAAACAGTGCGAAATAAAAAAAAATGATTGCAATGTTATTAGAAAATTCGGTTTTTTTTTTCATTTTTGAATTCAATTTTTAAGTTTTGATTATTTATAAAAAATCTTTAACTATGATTTCTTTTTCGTTTGAAACTGTGATAAGTATTTTACTTTTAAAATAATCCTTTTTTGATACAATAAGTAAATCAACAGGTTTATCAAACCGTAGGTTAATTTACGTAATTATGATATTTTTTTAATATTGCTTTTATACAGGAAAATATCAAGTTGATTCTCTAACTAGTGTTCACTATATAGTTTTGATGGGCTATTCATTGGCTTGGAGTAACATTTTCCCGTATAAATATAACCCTGGCTGCTTCAAATAATACTAGTTGCTATCGGTTATTGTACACTAAAATTGTATCTCTACCAACGCATCTCATATTAATTCCTAAGTTCTTGGCTCTGTTTTCACCAAAGACGCTAAATTTAGGTATCGAAATAGGGCATTATTTAAAATTACTTCATATACTTTTGTTTCGTTGCAAAATCAAGTACCGTGAATTTTCCGCGTTTTTGTCTTAATTCTAAAAATATGTATACATACGCTCTATGTAAATACCGCGAAACGTTATTATCAACTACATTCAAACTGTACATACGTTGTTTAAATATTAACACAGCAAGCATTAGACTAGTAGTTAACGCTTTGTGTAAAAAAAAAAAATTGGAATCTTTCCGCCAAAGGCACACGGAATTATTGTGGTGCAGATGTATAATAAATTGTAAGATAGCTCTTTAATTCTCCATTAGCATATCATCGCGACAAGAATAATTGTTAGTGTAAGAGTTACTTCATTGTATTTAAGCCTACTGTATTATACTGGACTGAATCATAAGTATGACGGTAGCGAGAATATGTTCTATACGTGTTGTGTGCAATATTTGGCAATACTCATCATATAGTCAAGGTAGTAGATACCTAGATGGGATGTTTTAGATTAAGTGATTGTTAAAGATAGGTAATTTCATAAAATATTTGTCCTATTGTGAATATATGTATAGAACAAACCGACTTGTATAGTGAAACATTGACTTGTGACTTGTAAATACAACAAATATTTGAAGTTTTGGGCATGCGAAGCCCGATATAATAAACCCATGAAATACAATTTAAAAAAAAAACTCACGGAAATACCAAGAATATTCGATTTGAAATGTAACATTTGTCCATTGACACAGACCTTTGCAGATTTGCCATTTTAACGTAAGAAAGTTTTAAAATTACATATATAATCGTAGATCAGACTATATTACTCTTATCTTGTCATTATATGGCCTATGTATTTCTAAGAGGAAGTTTATTTAAGAGCTTTTTAGATATCTTATTGCGATGTAAATCCGCGCTGTACATTCTATCCGAGGATTTTGATATTTTTATAGTCATCTAAATTCGTATTTGATGAATTTTTATAGTTATCTAAATTTATCTTCGAGAAAATATTTTTTTATGTATTTATTTTTCTCTTGCAATCATGTGTTTGCATTTAAATGATGATCTTCACCCGTTTCAGTATTTTGGTTTTGAAACACAATTCTTTATATCAACAATCTAATCCTTGTACATATTATTAAACTTATTATAGGAGCTAAATGTTAAAAAAAAAAAACTATTCATAACAGTTAAATAGATTATGACGAGCTAATGTTATAAACTCTTTCAATTACAGTTATAATGCAATAGGGTAGGTGTAATCAAAATCAACATTTATCTTATATTTATAACGATTGTACAGAGATTAAATAAAATAAGCTACTTTATTAATCGTATTTCGATTGGAACAATAAATCAATCTTGGATTTAATCGTATAACAGAACGTTATCCCAAATATCCAGACTTTTCTGACGTTGCGACCCCTTGGTCACCAGCGAACTAAATTGCATGAAAATGAGATTGAGTACTGAAACGAATATACTATAATCACTTGTATTGCAAGCTAATAATTGCAGCCATCGTCCCAGTGTGGCCAACTGATGAATATTAGATTCGATATTGATATCGATAGAAAGCATATCGTTAAGATTTTCTTCACAAATTTACTATCAAACAGTACAATAGGCCCAATCCTCGATAAGTTACGGTGCGTGATTGTTTTTATCGTAGATTGAAATAGTCGCAATATCAGTCGTTTGTGAAATCCTAAAATTTTCAAATACAATTTAATCTATTTATATAAACACTGGCTGTCTGTCTGTCTGATGTTTTAGGTTTAATCACAGTAGGGTCAACTAGTAGGACCGAAATCCGTGTTTGTAGCGATAGAGTTCATTACAACATTTAAAAATAAGACATCTGCAGTTAAGGGCAATGAATTTCGTTACCATAAATATAAAATGGATTGTATGTAAACTGTCTTTAGAATTATGCAACTTGTATTCTATTGTATATACAATAAATTATTTTTAAAAGATAACAATTTATTTTGATATTAATGTTGAGCTTTGCGCTGTCGCTTTTTTTATTATTAAACATTGTCAATTGGATACATTGAGTAACTTTTAGGTAATTCATATAATTTCATTGAAATCGTCAGGAGCTTCAAATTTCACAGTTTAATTTAAATACTTGATGGCATTTATTTTTGAAAAGAAGCTATAACGCGATTAGTATTTACATATTTCTTTTGTATCGTTCAAATTTCGAGTGATGTTTCCAATGTAAATAAAAACCACGATTTTTTAATGTTTAGATCTAAAATTTAACTTTGAACCATTTCATCGTTGTTCTTCGGTGTGCAATGCGAATGTCCCCGATGATCATAATACTTCAATATATATAGGAAACCCCGAAATGGAGCTTAATGGCAAACTGTGTGTTTTGAATATTTAATAAAAATAAATAATAGAAAAAAACATGTAACCGTTTTCAAATAAGTAGATCTAGATTGTTCATGTAATTCTGTTTAAAGTCAATGTTTAGTAATTTATGTACTTTGTAAATAGTATCTTCAGTAAACGGATGTCACTCGGAGTTTCAGCTGTAGGTCCACCGTTTGTCATATTATTGACGATATTACCTTGTCTTATTAATAACGTATATAATTGATGGAAAATAATTACTTGGTACAAGATTTTCATGTAATTTTAATCTTTAACATGTTTCTGTGTCTTTTTGTGAACAATATTATCGATGTATGAAATAAGTACTTTTAATGTTGATGTAGGTTACAATGTTGTTTAGTACTCTTTACGTTCAATATGATTCTTGTATTTGTAATGAAGCAGCGATTAGCTAACAGGCATCTGCAAAATCTGTGCAAATGTAATTCTTTAAATATTGATTGAAGTGATATATCATTGTGCATTCAATAATATCGATAAAATGTTTCCATATACTATCCCTAATAATATTGTCTGTAAAAAAGTTCAATCTAAAATTAAGTTCCTATGTATTGAAATGAAATTGTTTGTGTTGCCAAAAGTTGCAAATTATGAACTTTAATGAAATTTAATCTACTCGAACAAAATAGAACAAGACGAAATTATATGACGTAAAATAAAACTAATATCTTTTCCAAATTATTGTACAATACATAACGAATTGTAATTACATTACGAATCGTCTTCCGGCGAACTCACTGAAGTTTGAGTAGATTGAACTACTCTTTTGTTTCTTTTAGTAAATTGGTCTTTCATAAATTATTTTAAGTTACGCACAAATGAGGAATTATATTAAAATTAAACATGGATGTCGTTTATTACCCTGCTACTGTGATTTGTTTTAATTTAAGATTTCTGTAAATCATATTGTGGAATTAGTTTTGACGACCATACGGGAGGGTTGTGATTGAATACAACACGAAGTGAGTTTTAATAGTAATTTTCAGCTAATTAGACTTGTGTTTATAAGAAGTAAGTCAATCAAAAATCTTTATATAATTCGAATAAATTCGGTGATGTTCGATGTGCTATCGTGACCCTTCCTATTAGATGAAAAAAGTAATCAGATTAGGAAAGTAATCCTTTATGTTATTTAATGTTAAATTTTTGTATGTTATTGAATTATAATTTTTTTATGTAATTGAATAATGATTTTTCTGATAATGTTAACAAATTATAATTTTTATATTCTATGTAATCTTTCTATTTGTAATAAATGTAAATTTTTTTGGTACTATATTAGACTCGTGTTATTAAGGTTTCGTGCTTTGAGCGCATGATTATATTATATTGATTATTTTGTGTTAATGAGTGTTGAACATTATAAGTGTTGTATGGAATTGGAATTAAGTCTAAGGCATGTTGATCGGAATGAATGTTGACAGTGTCACATATTTAGGATGTTTGTTCGACAAAACATTTCAATTGTCACTATATAGCAGGAACACTACGTATTCTTACTTCACGTTCACCTCTACAAACTCCCAATAGTAATAAGTGAAACCTATAAAGGTATTCTTTTAGTATATATTCCGATTAAAATGTGTAGTTTTAAAATATGATTATTATTGGGAGTAGATGCTTCAATATTTCTGTAAAACAATTAATTTGAAATAACAGAAAGGCAATGATAAAAATTACACTAACATAGTTGTCAGCAACATTTAAAAGTCATTAAAAGACTATATTGAAAATTATTCTGATCGCAGTTATAGAATCGAATGGCAAAATGATTAATATAAACAGCTCCTTATCAGTTACTAAATCTTGTGCATGGCCATAGTTTACGGCATTGTGTGTATCAATAAAGATGAAGAGGAAAAGAGGTTAATATTTTCTTATCTAATTTAATGAGAATGTCATATCTTTTTTTTATTCAACATTTATGTGTATGTGACGCATGAGAGAGCCAAAGCACTGTCGAATGCTACATAAACACATACATACTTTTATAGCATGTTTAGATTTATTAATGATATTTTTCTTAAGTTACTTTTCTTCGTGATTTATTTTCTAATATTGTCATACAAGATTTAATCAGTATATAAAGTTGACGCACAATTGATTTTTGCGTCTTATGTTTTCGTTTATTATGTCAGGTCATATCTATTGTTAAAATATTTTCTATGGTTGCCTAATGTTCCCTTTTCCTTTGCTCTGGTTTTTTATCTGTAACTTTCTCCGTCCAACTTTATTTCTTTTATTCTCCTTTTAAACCATATGTCAATGGTATCTCTCTAATTGATGTTTTTTCACATAATTAGTTGCTCATATTTTGTAACAGAATGCATATTCTATAGACGTATTCGAAACAAAAATAAAAATATAGCAAAGTTA